AACCCAAAGATCGTACTTGTGGCCTTAGCAAGACTTGAATTATGGGATTGTTCTCGTTTGGCGAGGATGCAACCAATGCATCCGTGATATTCGGGGTGGAGTAAGAACAACATCCAGAGATTTTTAACATACTCTGTACCTCTGTTTTTAGTATTGGAACAGGTCTTCAGCAGTGGAACATGATGCAATGGGTCCACGAGAACGCAAGTACGGTCAAGTATGCATATTATTGCTGTGTTCCATTTGAACTCGTGACTTGTAAATTCTGAGTTCCTAGTCAGAAATTTCAACTGGAACACCCCCTGAAGTCGGAATTCCGGCTTGAGAAGTCCGAGTAATCTACACAACCCCAACCTCAGAATCCAAGATGGCCGCGCCCTTTATCAACAGAAGTTAAAGCTGTAGTTTTATACTGTTTACTAGCACTTACATCTTATTTGTGGCTCATTAAATCAGTCGTGCACGTGTTGCTATGCAACATGCTGCAGAACGTGTTGTTATCCACTGATATTGCTAACAGCAGCAGACAATTAACTGGGCTAAACCTGGGGCCCATTTCATTAAGCAGACAACCTGTCGGATTTAAGGTAGTCTGGGCTAAATGTGAATGAACAAATATAAAGGCCATTTAAACTGGGGTAAATTAAATCCGGCAAGTTACCCAGGTAAGCAAAAAATCTTGCTTTTTGAATCGGGTCCCTGGTCCTGCTAAATGGCTTTCCGGCTATCTGTACTGGAACACTGTTATCTCGTGATAACGTCATTCCCAGTTCCCAGTCCTGACCACACCCAGTGTCTCAGCAGGCCGATCCGATAAACTACCCACACCTGCCTGATTGCTCCACCCCACAAAACAAATGAACCAAAACGGACATGAAACAGGTAAGGTCGTAACCCCCCCCGAGCTGTTCCTGAAAATTGCAGCGGCTCTGCACCTGAACACCCTTGCCGTTTAACGGCGGTCTATGGCCCGCTGCATTTGTCACAGCACCTGTTTATTTATACTGGAAACAATGCTCTATTTCTAAAACAGAAGCAAAAGATCGACAAGTATTAAGAGTTAAAGCTCGACGGGGGCCTCCCAATTCGCTGCACCGTTTAAGAGGGGGCTCTACCTATTAGTCATATCTACTTTCGGTGCTTTGTGTGTAGACTGCGTCATTTGCCCTTCGGCGAGTGAGAACCTGTAACAGAAGAACAGATATAGCACTTTAATTAGGGAGGAGCAAAACTGGACCGAGTATCTTGGCCGTTCTTGTTAAGCTGCCCTATTGTTTGCCAGGCAGCACTTAGAGCCGCGGTGGCCAATCTTATCCGCAAAGGGCCGGTGTGTATGCAGGTTTTTGGGGTAACCTTTAGGTCAGCTGTTCAAACCCAGGTGTGAGGACTCCTCAGGCAATCAGTCCTCTAACTAGTAAAATAATTAGGGAGCTGCAGTGAAAACCCGCATACACACCGGCCCATTGCGGATATGATTGGCTACCCCTGACTTAGGGTGAGGGTCACCGTAGCCCTGAAATCCAGGGCAATAAGCTCGACAAATTCACTAGGAAGCTAGAGGACGGGGGAGGGTGTCCTGAGGACAGACATGAAGGCAGGGGAGGAAAAGCCACCCTTCCCTCCGTTTAAAGCACAAAAGCACAGCAAACGGCCTCACAGAGCAACAGGAAACACTGCAGACCGCGTGAGGAAACATCCCCTTAGAGCTCACTGTATTGTATTTGATAAAAAAAACAAGATGTAGCTTTTTTTGGCTTCTCGGATGAGCCATGGTGTCCTGACCACTGCAGCTTGCAAGCAGTGTCATTGTGGCTGTATGTCTATAAGAAAAAAAACTAAACAAGAAATGGCCGAATGCATCAGCACAGCTGAGGAGTAGAAGTCACTCTGGTACTATATAGATTACGTGTTGCATTTTATTACATCAGTTTAATTTAATTTAATTTAATTTAGTGTTTTATCTTATTTTATTTTATTTTTTTCTTGTATCCTTATTCTTGTATTTTTATATTCTTGGATTACTCTTGTACTCTTTCAGGCTATCTGTCTAGAGCTGTGGTAACACACAAATTTCCCCACTGTGTGATCAATAAAGTCCTATTCTATTCTATTCTTCTATTCTAATTACAAAACACAGGCATGTGGACCAACATACCGAATCACAAATTAGAACATTTCAAAAATTAATTTTAAAAATATTAAAATATTTACTATATAAGGTTAGGGATACCTTTTTCAAGAGATTACATCCAGATTTCAGTGTTATTCAGTGAAAAGGTCATACATTAAGATTTCACGGGGGGGGGGGGGTTACTGTGACCTCAAGAGACTTCTACAATTTTGACAGAAAAATAATACAAGCTGAAAGATTGTAATTTGCATTCAATGATAATTAATGACTGGTAATGAGAAAAGATTCTTATATGCAATAATCTTCGTTATATTGATCGATGTTAATGTTGTAGGCAGAGGTAAAATTTGATTATACAGAGCGCTCTGCATTAGACTGGAAAGAGAGATGAGCCCTTCAGAGACATCCTGATAGCATGCAAGCGCTGCCAGACGTTCTTGAGCTCCATAATTTGATAACGGACTTCAATCATTTGTACAGCTTTTCTTCAGCAGAGTCACCCTGCCTACCTCCCAGTGCTGTGATAATGGCGAAGGATGGAACAGCACTCGTGTGTATACTGGATAGAATTGTTGTGCAATTCTCCCTTACTCAACCGTGAAACACTTCAATTTCTTCATACAAGTTACAACACAAAAGCATAACTCCGGCTTATCGAATAAGGACTGACGATCGGCTGATATCTCACACATGCACTGGTGACCCTTCTTGACCTGTGCTGACCCCTATCAGCTTAGGCGGAGCCGCTCATTTTAATGGACACAACTCTGTTTTCTTTGTATTAGAAATCCTTTTTTACCCTGAAGTCACCTGAAAAAGTTGTCTGTGAAACATTTTGTGACTTTCTCATAAATTTGTACTGTACAGTGCATGGCTTTATTTACATATTACCAGCTCATCGGGAGTTTTTACCAAAAGTATAATGCATTTTTCTGTATTCACACACTAAAATTTTACAGCAGCAACCCAGGTTAGGTATCTTGGCTGGGAAAGTTATATCAAGGCCTCTCATGGGACTCGAAACAATGACGTGTTGGGTTTATTTGTCTTTAACTGACCTACAATGTTGCACTTGGAGTAGGGTTCACTCAGACGGAAGTTGTGACTTGCAATAGCTGGCAAGCAAGAAAGCAAATTTAAGCATGACAGGTGAGCATTAATGGCGATAATACCAGTGACACCAGTGACAGTTAGGAGATGATCGTTAATCATCAGCTCAGATCTGGTTCCCGTTTGGTTTCCTTTGCGATGAAGATGCAGTTTCTGCTTTGCTGGAGTGTGACACAAGTGCATGATGCATATAGGGTCATGTCAGTAAGCTGGAAGGGGTCAGAGGTCAGAGGTCAAGATAAGGAGAGATCAGCACGCCAGTTGACAGAAAAAAAATCTAGGGGCGGGGTTACCCCTTGGTATATTTAATTTACCATGGGAGTTCAAGCTCGTAATGTTCGTGACTGGCTGTCAGATTGGTAGCAAACATGTTTGGGGTGGGGGGGGGCGGATTTAAAACCCTTATTTTTACTACATTGCAACCTGCCTGGCGCGCAGAACCATGTGCTTAGCATGCCTCCCCTCCTGAGACCAACACGGCGCAGAAACACAAGGCAAAAGGAAATTCCAAGGTTGTAAATGATTCATAAAAACACCCCCTAAGATCGCCTTTGCTTCCTGTTCGAAAGGAAAGGGAAATCGTGTGTTTCGATTCTGCGGTGCTGTGCCCATGTGTAGGGGAAGAGAGAAGCTAGGTGCCAACGTTAGAACATACCAGCATGGGGAGGGACGCTGCTCAGGCACTGACAATCATTCTTTGCAAACCAGCCGTTCACGTCGGCGGTCGCATCTGGCTCTGGAGTTCTTTCGAAATGTGCCCAGGTTCAGATTTTTTTCCACCAGTCGGCTTAGAAGCACTTGTGTGTCTGCATGTGTGTCTGTCTCTGTGTGTGTGTGTATGTGCAAATTTTTATACTTCTAGGGGATTTCCAAGCCTCATCCTGTAGAGAATCAGAAATGACCTGCTTTATAAAATTGTGCCGTTATGTAGGAACACAAGCCTTTATTGCTCAGCGCACATACTCTCCTAGAGTGTACCGAGCCTCTTAGGAGACATAATTGCCTTGCGTTACTGTGCAAAATACCGTGTAATGTGTTGTTATCGACTGATATTGCTAACAACAGCTAACAATTAACCAGGCTAGAACTGGGGCCTGTTTCAGAAAACAGGATTTCTTGCTTAGCTGGATATCTTGTCAGATTTAAGGTAGTCTGGGATAAATGTAAATGAATGAAGATGAAGGTCATTTAAACTGGGGTAAATTAAATCCGATAAGTTATCCATCTCAGCAAGAAATCTTGCTTTTTGAAACAGGTCCCTGGTATCGCTAAATGGCTTGCCAACTTGCTGTACTGGGACGCTGTTAACTTGTGTATGAAGCCATTCCCAATTCCGAGTCCAAACCTCCAAAGTGAATGGAACACAGCATGAGCCCTAAGAGTCCCAGTAGACCTATATTAACCAGTATCGGAAATGCATACCAGTGCCAAGCAGGGAGGACCAAATGCCAAGTGTGACACCCTCTCATGTCACAGATCTCTAAAACGAGAACAAAATATCTTACATTGTCTTTAGAACATTCCAGAAATACCCACAGAAATTTACGAGCCCACTAGCCACAGCCAGCCCAGGAAATGGACTCCATTCATCACTGGGGAATAGGAAGGACATTCTGAGTCATACTTCACATAGTATTAGAATTACTCACACAAATGCTTTCTCAAACACTCCACAAGCAGCATCTACAGTAAAACAAGTCAACAGGTGAAAACCAAGGCTACTGTTGTTACACACTGTAGATGTAACTGTAGGACTGACCAGTTGCTTTGGCCCACTGGGGGGCGCTCTTGGTCCCATGCTCTTGAGCAGCACCAAAGGTATCTGGGAAGTAAAGAGAGGAAGAGTTTCAAGTTGCAGTGGCACACTGCTATGGCTACATGTACCATGAATTGTTGGACCTTCACTTGCACCTAAACAAACTTTGGATTCAACACCAACTCGGGTCTATGGGAATTTCTTGGAGCACTGGGAACTGTGATCCTCTGACTAAATAAATTGGAAAAAAAGAACTTTGAATAACTTGGACATTTTGCATGCCTTTCAAGAACAATCAATATTTACAGTCTTATCAAATCATAATACAAATTATCTCAAATAACCTCCGGATGCTTAGCCATTACTTTCACACGAATCTTCTCGAGCCCTCATTCCGGAAAACGAAGAGTCCACCTCATTGTCGTCATAAAGACCTCAACTGTGCGTGCTCCGCAGCTTGCAGATCTGAGGGTCGGGCTGTGAACACAGAATTAAGGGTGAGATCTTGCATCAGGAAGACATGACACGAAATCGAGTGACAGCTGAGTGGGCTGCAGCAGACCACAGCTGAATAGAGAACAAAATTTCTTTAACCTGTCATTAACCACCACCCCCCCTCGCCCCCACACCATATGAAGTACACAGAGCGCAAAAAACAGGCAAAAAAAAATCATTGAGAAAAATCCCTGCTGGTTTAGCTGCTGTAGTTCCCGTGTGCATCTTTTGAGCTGCGATATCTCAGGATCTCCATCCTGCTATTTTGCTTACCCAGATTCTCTCAGGCTCAGGCAAAATTACTCAAGTCTGCAAAGACTGAAAGTCTTGTGCAAATCTTACAAGCCTGCAAGGCCTGCAACCTATGAACTTACTCCTTATTGGTCGTGCTCTCCTGCAATCCGTTTTCCATGGGCTCATATAAGGAAGATGATTATGGAAATTAACCCCGCTACAGGTAGAAAAGAACATTACCTCATCAACTGAACGTCTCCCCCTTCCTTTTCCTTCCACCAGGACAGGTGCTTGTAGACTTGGGAGAGGTCAAGACAAGTGACTTCCCCTTTCCCAAGCAGGCCTTCATACCCTCGTTACCATCAAATACAAAAACTCCAATGGAAATATAGATGAATGAAAACTCTACCATTATCATTGTAAGACGGTAGATAGTCTTTCAACAATCTAGGGACCTGGGTTTGCAGCAAAATAACGTGTCATGGCTTCAAATCTCAAGTGGAAGGCATTTTGAACTATGCGTCTGACTGTAGGTCCAGGCAATATGATGATTCATAAACTTGGGAATCTCTAAATGAACTATATCAGCAAATAGATAATGGTTAATATTGTAAAATACCAGAAGGTCAACAACAACATCTGGGTAAGTCCTGGACTTGCAGCAGAATAATCTCAAGGGACAAAACAGGGCAGGTGAAAACCAGCCTTGATGCAGGAAAACAGACACAAACACACATTATCTCAACAAACACACTCATCTGAAAATTGCTGCCTGGGGTGAGTCAGTGTCTGTGAGTCTTTTTGATGATTAGCAAAGACTTGCATGTTCTTTCTATGTCTCACTAACTGCCATTTTTAATTATGGGTGTGGCCTTGAACATCTCTCAGACTTAGCCACACCCCCTCAAACACTTATTCCCACACACATCTCTACTGCCCACATCCTCATCTATCTATCGATAAATATAAAAGAGTATCATGTAACATCCGTTTCTTCACCATGCAGACATGCAATAACACATTCTTGGAAGTATTACGAGCTGAATGGTCTTCTGAGGAGGCTGTTGAGTGGTCTTCTGAGGAGGCTGTTGAGTTCACCACTGATTCCTTCCAATCTGTCTCCCCCAGCTTGTCCTCGCTGGCACAGCACAGTGTGGCAACAGCGAGCCACCGCTTATAAGGCAAACGAAGGATTGTGATAAACCATAATCCCTTCATTAAAAAACCATAACTGGTGAACACAAGCATGAAGGTTTCATCAGAAGCACTTAACGCCATGTGATATAGATCTCCAACTTATGCAACAGTGGGTCTTTCAAAAGTTTTTTTTTTAGCTATGTTTAATGTGCTCCTTGTTTCTGAGGTCCGATTGCTGGTTACAATTGATGTCTGTGTTTGTAACTTATGTTGTAATGAGCAAAGCCTTTGACTGCAGAGGAAAATGATCGGATTGTAGCTTTATCACAATACGTGCCAGTTTTGAAAAACACACATCATGTTGTTATGCATTGGAATGTAAGATACAATAACCTGCCCTGCTTCTCATAACCCTAAACCTCCATTGAACTACCACCTCCAGAGTGTCCAGAATGGAACCATGGAACAAAATTGCCCTGGCATTTTGCATAACAAGGCGGGCAAGTACTCTGGACAAGGTGTTCTGCAATCTCGGTTAACGATACACTAAACAGGTGTTACCACACGAACTGAATTGGGTTAGGGTTTGACCCCACAGGCCATCACAGGTATTGATTTGGAGGCCTTTGTGACCATTATAGCCCCCGCTAGTGTTCTGCAGATGTAGACAGTGAACCAGTGTTAATCTGACGATTGGCAATAAGTGCCAAAATCCACACTGCGGTTATATTGGGTTGCGGGGTTGCGGTTAAATACTGAATATACATTGGTTTTGAGCCCGGTCTGGATTTGTCTGACCATAGTCTGCCGATAAATAGGCCACGGCTTGTGAAGTCCAGGAGCCAAAAAAACGACGATTGAGAGCAATGCAATTAGGTGGAAGTAGTTGAGATTTAAATCTCCTGAGTGCCGGAAGGATCTTTTGGAAGATTCTGAGCAGTCTGGGGAAGTCACAAAAGGAACGCGAGAAATGTGTTTCAGGACATCGCCAGTATGTTTCCAATAATCTTTACTATCGTAGTTTACAATCTGATGGGGATATGAACAGACGGTTATTTTCTTGCTGAAACTAGTGTTTATTAAATTTGCCCGTCGACCATGTAAACAGCTACATTGGGAAGGGCCAGTTATTTATACTTATTTTTCAGCATTTACGTCGGATTCTTTTTCCCAAAAAAAAACGGTGTGGTGCTCTTGCCCCCTTGAGAATTTGAATAAGCAAACATGACCGCCGTGAAGATGTGATCCCTTGGGGTGACGTGCCACGCCAGCCGCGGTTCACAGCCTTCTCCACATCTGTGTGCCAGCCAGGGCGCGGGGCTTGCTTGACACACATTTCCTCCTGTATTTTCAGGTTCTTAGCGAGGGCTGCATGCACTGTAGCGTGCACGCGAGATATAAAGGTGCCTGACATTCATACAGACTGGGTGTGGTTACTGCACACAAGTAAACATATGACTCATTATTTGTCTCCCCCAAGCCGGAAATGGCAGAACGGTCTCACTCCTTGACCTCTCCTCTGCTGCCTCCAATGCTTAAATTTGCATTTACAAATTCACCAGGGTTTTGTCTAAAGTGGCGTACAAGTGAGGCAAATAGCCCATAGCAAACCTCCAGCTGCCAAGGAGTCAATAAGGCATAAGGGCAACTAGGCTGAGCTTCCGGTGAACGGCCCAGGTATGAATGTAAGCAGGATTGATAGCAAGGCATGTGTGTCTGGGGGTGATGAGATGCTGAGGAATCACAGGTGGAAATATGATGTGGATGCAGAAGGGATCAGGGACTGGCATGGCAACGGACGTGCAACGGAGCAAGTCCGGAGATGTCAAATGTGAGCTGCACAGCATGTCAATAGATGGCAAAGGGTAAATCAGTGATGGACACATGGAATAGAGCAGGAAGCAACACTGTTTTGGTGCCTGAGTAAATTTAGACCACAAACTAAGCTGCAGTGTTGCTACCACCCCAAATGCTGTCCTACCTTGACGATTTCCTGTACCTGATACAGAGGTCCTTGTGCTGGTTTAGCCCCCACTAGTGTGCTACAGTTGAAATGCAATGACAAGGGTCAAACTGACAATTACCAGTAAGCAATAAATATCCACAGTCTGGTAAGAGCAATATAATTCGGTGGAAGTAGTTGTCTTTGGTGAGTTAAGTGAACTAGACAGACACCCACTCAAGACAAACCGGAACCGCTCAACGTATGACTCAGGCATTACCGGCGGGGATTTTTCTAGAACACCTTGAACCTCCTCAGCACTGAACACACTCCCTGAGCAGCTGAGCCACGTGTCCAACAGGAGCGAGGCACCGCCACCATGAAACGCCGCCATAATTCAGCTCTGTGTCACGCAAGCAAACCCTCCTAATGTCTGTCATAACTATGCCTTAACTCGCAACTCAACGACGCTTTTTTCTGTTATACAAAGGAAGATGAGGTCCAGGTGCTTCATGCAGAAATTCACGCCCAAGTCATTTTTTAACTCATGTTGAATGGTTTAATCGCCATGTGTCTGTCAGCCTAAAGACCAGATGCAAATTGTATTTTCTCTTATCTTTCCTCGAAATTATTTCATCGTAAGCCACCATCTGAAAGCAAAAGTAAATACATAGGAATTTAAGAGACCACAGCACAATTTTTTTGTTTCACTCAATTCTCAGTTTTTGGGTATGTGTCTGTGAATTATATATAGGCCTATATATATAATTTTTTTTTGCAAACTTCAACCTGGCTCTTCCCTGCTGCTTCTCATTGATGAAGAGCTTCTTCCTTGCTTTATGGGACTTCAATCCTGCTTTATGTGAGGAAAATGGCGTGTGATGAGCTATTTTGCACAATAAGGTGATAGGTGATAGGCCAGGGATTAAAGTTACACGGGACACGGAATCGAATAGACATCCGAGAAAAACCACAACAACAGTTCTTTGAAATACAATTCCCTCGCATTTAATAATACATCTGCTTCGCTGTGGGCAGCAATGGCAGCTTGGACTTATGTTTAGATATGACATCACAGGCCAAACACCGTCACGCTCCTGTCCTGTCACGCTCCTGTCCTGTCACGGTCCTGCTGGTACCGCCTGTCACGGTGGCGTTGAGACAAAGGACAGCTGGGGATCAGACGTGCGCGGCGCCAGAGGGGCGGCGAGAGAAGGGGGGGGGGGGCGTAGGTGGCGGCCTGATGGGACACAGGAGGGGGAAGGCCGCGTGCATCAGACACGCTGACGGCTACCAGAGACTTGCAGCTGGTGGCCAGGTTTGGAGCACAAGTCTCATAAAGTATGAAGTATAAATCTCAGCAGGAACAAGTCCTTTGGGGTGACCTCCGAACGTCTGCTCTGCGCCATTACGGTGTGTGTTTACAGAAGAACATAAGAACAGAGGTCATTCGGCCCATCAAGCTTGTTTTGGAAGAACTAAACTAATAACTCAGAGTTGTTAAAATCTTATTTAGCTGTGACTTAAAGGAACTCAAGGTTTTAGCTTGCTCTACATTAACAGGAAGACTATTCCATACTCTACACGCTGTGTAAAGAAGTGCTTTCTCAAATCCAGTTTAAAACGCTCTCCCGCTGATTTCTACCTATGGCCACGAGTTCTTGTATTTGAACTTATATTGAAGTAACTATGTGGTTGAACAGCATCCAAACCTGTTAGAATCTTATATAGTTGGATCATGTTCTCCCTTAGTCTCCTTTGCTCGAGGCTGAACAGATTCAGCTCAGCTAACGCCTCCTCATGAGGCATTACTCTAAGACCAGGAATCATTCTTGTAGCCCCACGTTGAAACCAAGGCATCAATGTCCGTTTTAAGGTAAGGTGACCAAACCTGCACACAATATTCTAGGTGGGGTCTTATCAAGAAATTATGCAATCTTAGCATCACTGCCTTTGACTTTGACTCCACACACCTAGAGATGTAACCCAACATCCTATTGGCCTTTTTTATTGCTTCCCCACACTGGCGAGAGTGGGACATGGAAGCATCAACATACACACTGAGGTCTTTCTCATAATCAGCTACCTTTATTTCAGTAGAACCCATGAAATATCTGTACTTTATATTTCTGCTCCCTGCATGGATTACCTTACATTTATCTACATTAAATTTCATCTGCCAGGTATCAGCCCAGTTGTTAATTAAATCAAGATCCTGCTGTAGCCTCTGTGCCGCTAGTTCAGCATCTGCTACACCACCCACCTTGGTGTCGTCTGCAAATTTAACCAATTTGCTGTATATATTGAGGTCAGTATCATTAATGTAAATTAGAAATAATAGTGGTCCTAAAATTGAACCCTGCGGTACCCCACTGTGAACACAGGCCCACTGTGACATTCTGCCTCTAACAACTACCCACTGCTTCCTGTCTGTTAATCATTTTTCAATCCAAGCTGCTATAGTTCCTAAAACATAAATAACATTACCTGCGTGCTTCCTCAGGGTCGAGGGAGATTAGCGCTTAGCGGAGCTGCAGACCTGTCTCTACTCAGCATCTCAACGTTGTTCCCGCACCGTCCATTTTTCCTGGCTTCAGTGTACAGGGCTGTACTGTGGGAGCCCGTTTGCCCGTCCCATTGGCATGCTGGCACCGGGGTGCTACCTCACCCATTTAGTGTAACTGGTCACAGTGCAGAGAAACGTTTGGAGGTAAAAAGAGAGAAAGAGAAGGATATAGGCAGGGAAAAAAGCAAAAATATTATTGTATTAGGTGACTCGTTCATATGCAACTTGAGAAATTTCATTAGCTTGGGTAAATATTTATGTCTCGCCCAGCAATACGCTATTGATGGTTTACTGCCGAGCCAGCGGTATGTGTCTGTTCTGGCACAGATTCTGCGTTCTTTGGCCTCAGATCTGAAGCGTCTCCTGTATTTACACTGCATCTGCAGGCTGGCCTCAGAACTGACGGGGACCTCTGCCTCTCCAGACTCAACTGCCACCTAGTGCAATGCAAACCAGGACACTGTTAAAGGTAATGATAGATGGATGGATGGACACACAGATTAGAAAGACAGATGGACATACAGACAGACAGATACTTTATTGATCCCAGAGAAAATTAGGGACTTAATAGCAGCAAATAAGTACTAGGCCATAGTTGGCACAATATAACTGTTACAAAACAATTAAATGTGCAATGTGCAAAAACAGGGCTCACTGCTAATTACAAGGCTCACTGCACACATATACAGTTACATACCATTTTCTCCCAGTTTGGCTAGAAATCCAAATGCTGCAGGACCCATAACAACCACACCAGGTTCAGCATGTATCAGTGCTTCAGGTTAAACAGAGTCACATGCGTCACATTTTGGAAAAAGTGCTACTTGGGAGCCCAGGTGTCTAACCCCCACCTCTACGGGAGTCAACCGGTCTGGGTCCTCTTGCAACCCCAGTGTTGCCACCTTGATTTGACCATTGCTTCCAAGTATGACAACCAAATGGCTACGGAATCAGAGGGAGACTCGTCTGCCGTGGGCAGAGTGATCTTTTCGGAACTGGTGTGCAGACACTCCAAACTCTACACCTTTCCAATAATAAGGGAGTTCATATGCCAAGAATTTGTTACAACAGAGATAATTAATAGTGTTGAGAAATGCATGATTGCATGGTGGTTCGTTGCATGGATTGCATGGTGGCTCGTTGCATGGATTGCATGCTCTTCCTGGATTAGGGTTCCCTACCTACCTCCTGCTTAGTGCATGAACCTTTAGCACAAGCAGGTGAAAATGGACACGTTTCGTTTACCTAGCTGGTGGTTAGTGATTGGTCACTTCCATATTCTTTCAGTTAACAGGAACCAATTTACTTTTAATACTGACGTCTTAAAATCCCACTGCATAGGGGATTACCATGGCTGTTGATAACTGCTTGATTTAATGTAAAGGGGGACAAGGAGAAACCAGTCGAAAATGCACGAGGATCAGAGAGCAGGCTGAGCCAGTCTCTGGAGTAATTGAGAGTTAAGGGCCTTGCTCAAGAGACCAATGGTACGATGGCTCCGCCCACCACGAGCTTTGAATGGGTGATGTGCTCAGTGACCTAATCCACAAAGCCAGGCACCACCCCGGTAGCCCACTCACATTTGGTTGTTGTGATTTAGTAATTACTCAATATTTTCACATTAGTCAGCCATGAGAGCAGTGTTGTGATGACTGGAGGTTCTGGTCACTTGATCACCATGACAACAGAGCTGCCTGGTATAACTGCCCCTGAAACATTAAACATTATGGTATGCAGTAGATCCTTTTATTTCCCTTTTGTACACATACATAGGAATACTTTTGGTTTTTGCACATCCGATTTTGCTGGGGTCAGAGCACAGGGTTGGCCCTTTTTCCAGCGCCCCTAGGGAAGTCTTTGTGCATGAGGACTTTGCCCAAGGGCCCAGCAATAACGTAGTTACTCTGGCAGGAATAGGATTTGACCCAACAACCTTCCGAGTTCTAAACCACAGAGCCACACCCGTACTTCAAACTGAAGAAGACCTATACTCATTTTAGTCCTGATTTCTTGAGGGCTCATTTGAAAAGCGTATTTGCCTAAAAATGAACATGTTGAAACAAGAGTTATATATGCCGGCTTTCATTTTGCCTGTTAGTGCCCTTGCTGTTTGTATTCCTTGTCTAATGTTTCAGGATTAATTTTCACACACTAGTATTGCGAGAAGAGCCAGGTCATTTTCATTCTGCATTATCTTGGCCTTTTAATATGTCAATGTCAGACTTTTGTATCCATGTCACTTTCTCTTGCCCCCCCCCCATCCCCAATGTAGCCATATATGGGAATCCTGACGACAGTGACAGGTTAGAATGCGGTGGACTGGAGGGGGAGGACAATCTGCACGGAGGACAGAGAGAAAGAGTCCAAGATCCCAGTGAATCACTTAACAGCCATTGCTTTGTCAAATAGCAGAGGAATTGTAATTTTGGGCCTAGTAGTGTGACGACTGCATTTGGAAATGGTTATGATTTCACATCACATAATCATCTTATGTTTGACGGACCGGTGCCACAAGAGAGATAAAAACGTCAGACTGGACATCCTTCTCCGGATCTGTGCCTCCGTGTTTACCTGGCCTGGGGCTCGGTCACAAAAGCTCACCTCGGCTATGAAAGGTTTACCCCCGTGAGCTATAATGGAGAAGTAAATTCAATCTGCCTCATGGGAATATAATCCTGCAGCAATACATTCATCCACAAGTTAGCAGCCGGCTCAGGTTACATATATAAAGCAGCCCGCTGTACAATGTAAATATTTGGATCACTTTTTTGTGGAATGGAGCAGGTACAATATTATGAACCCTGAAACACTGGAGGCAAAAACAAGTAACTATATACAGTAGGTAAACACCATGAACGACTTTGCCCATGGAAGTCAAGGATAAGAGTGACACCTAGTGGCTGATTCTAATAAGGCACTTGGCCAGAACTGCATGACCATTTTCCACAGCTCCATGGTTACCTGTTTGTCTTTCAGTCTGTTCTCCTGATTTAACTGCCCTATTAAAATAACAGGAAGGTGTAACTAAGAGAGTAGGAAGGATATGCTGCTGCAGGCTCTTCAGTGGGACTCCCCCACTGAATATCCAGCTGGATGAGTGCAGTTGGGGGAAAAATTGATTAGCATGTATGACTGTACCAGCTTATTCTGCAGCATGCAGCATTAATAGGTACCAGCAGGGTTTTGTGTTGTTGAAGGTGCTGTGCTGCTGGGAGACCATGCAGTGGACCAATCCTGCCAGCAGGTGGACCTCTTGCGAGACCCACCCACTTTCTGTCACAACCAGTTCAACAACCAATTATTAATTTCCCCAAAGGAATAATGGGAAATACTCAAGTAAATTAAAAAAGCACATGGGTCCATTTTAGACAACTTATTTGGCACATTGTACATCATGAATGTTAATGACAAAGGGATTGTTTAATGGAGCAATAAAATTGGATTACTGATTGATAATTAACAAAGAAACATTCCTTTGTAAATCAGAAATATTTCCCAGGATCCGTCAAGATGGACATACAATTCAGCTCTTCTTTTTGTTGCCCTCATTTTGGTTCTGTCCATTCTGGGGGGAGGGGCTTGTTCAGTCCAGGGGGTCAAGTTTGGCCCCACACTTTCTCAGGGTCCTGCGGACATACGGCACGGCGTCGTCCACAAACCAGCGGCGCCGGTACAGGATGAGCATCACGTCCCGGAGAAGACTGTGCTCCCGGCGTCTGCCACATGCAACGCAAAGCAGAGATCGAGTCCCGCTTTAAAACACATTAGCGCAAAGCAGTATTGAGCCTGCAGTCCGTCCCAGGGAGGTAAAGAGAGTAAGGCAGCGGGGCAAGATGGACTGGATGCATGGAGCTTCCGTCTCCCAGCAGGGCGCATATACAGGGCCGGGGGGGGGGTTTCCTGGGCCCTGAAGGAGGCCCAAGGTGACATTTTGTTAGGGAGCTCAGAATCTCTCTCTCACACACACGTATGTAATAATATCTTTGTGGGGACTCTCCATTCATTTCTATGGGGACAACTCTAATCCCAACATGATGACCTTAACCCCTACCCAGCCCTAACCTTAACCATAAGTAACCAAACTAAATATGAGACTTTTGGCATCTTTAGTTTTTTGATTGCATTCATTTTCATTGGATCTGAAAAATAGTCCCCACAACGTCAAAATAAGAGGTTTTTAAATCACATTGTGGGGGACATTTTAATCCATGCATGCACACACGCACATACACACACTTTTGTACCACAGGTCGTTCAATACCATATTTTTTTTTGCCTCAGCTCCCCAGAAAAAATATTATTAGTGATTTGTCTTTTTGCATTTACATCGCGCAAATTTTATCATGGGGGAACCCCATGGGAGACCTTAGGGAGTCCCCCCCCCCCCTAAGTGTAATGTCCTACAATCACCCCTGGTTTGTACTAAAGGATACCAGTCCACCTTAACTGCATATTTTTGGACCAGAGTTTCCCAATCCAGTTCTCAGGGACCCACAGCCAGTCCACGTTTTTTGCTTCCTTCAAGCTCCCTGCCAGACAGGTCCTCCTAGCAGGGAGCAGGGAGGGAGCAAAAACGTGGACTGGCTTTGGGTCCCCAAGGATCGAACTGGGAATTAACCCACCTGACTCTGAGGAGAACAAGCAACCTCAACAGAACCTTGCAAGCTTTGCCCATTAAGCCATTTCTGCATCAGACACTGAACAGTTCTTCACATCAGTGTTTTCTAACGCAGTTCTCAGGGACACGTTACAGGGAGCTGGGAGGGAGCAAAAACGTGGACCGGATGGGGTCCGAGAGGACCCGGAGGGGAATCACTGCCTAATACATCTGCTTACTCATTGGTTTGATTTTGCATACATCTCTGTAGTGCTGCCAGGCAGCCCACCATTAGGGATTGTGGAAAAATTAATTAGCTGGGGAAGTACTGTGGCAGTTTGGCAATCATACGAAGGAGCCAAACGGGAAATGAGAGGGCCGGGCTCTTGGTAACTATCGGATTCAGTTTGTCAGCTGGTATTATAAACGAGGGACTCACAGCTGCCTGAAGATCTCTTTTGTGGCCAGCGGGTTGCCATCAGAATCGCTCATCACCACGGGCTCAGCGACGACTCCGGATGCACTTTGGATGCAGTAATCTGTTGGCAAAGGAACCAATCAAATAAGAGCATTCAATAGATTTCACTGAATCCAAGACAAAATTCAAAAATATTTGCTAGACAGAACAATTACAGGCAGTGCTGGGGAGTAATAAGTTACATGCTTTACTGTCCAGTTTGAAACACTTGTTAGAAAAAGTAATCAAATGTTTTAAGTTGCATTACTTTAATGAAGTAATCAAAATCATTACATTACTTATTGCATATTTAACAGGGTAATAGTAATCTGTAGCCTATTACAGTTCAAAAGTAACCTTCCCAACACTGTCATTAACTTACAATTATCCTGGCAGGTGAACACTACTCAAATAGGGAGTAACAATCTATGTGACCTGCCTGGGTACTGGGTCTTTGAGTAGCAGTGAGATACATGGTGTGAGAGGACCACCAGTTCGGTGCTAGCGGTCAGCCTGTGTGGGCCGCGGGGGTCTGGGGGGCCACCTGGTCCCACCTCACCTAGGAGAGCATCCACCTTCAACCTTAGGTCCGCATTCTCCAACGCCACCTGCAGGGCAAGACCCAGCACTGCATGCTGACAACCCTCACGGGGTTTCAGTTCATACCAAAGTCTTGCTAAATTATGTGTTTCTTTTACTGTTAAAATGACATAATTTAATAAGCTTACCTTCTCGTAACTCTTTTCTCTTTCTTCTATTTGCGACAATAAGTCATCCTGCAAAATTTCATTAGAGATTCAACAAAAGACTAAGAGGAACTGATTAGCCAATAGACCTTGCCATTGGGTTGGAGCGATGGTTTCTGTCTACTGATAGTGGAGGTAGACGTTCTGCCTGATTAAATGAGTACCTTCTCCCTCTGCAGGTCAGCCATGACCAATGCAGCCTCCTCTTGGAATCTCGCATACTTCACTCTGACATCTTCCAGCTCCAGGGATAGGGTCTCCTTGAAATAGGAGAACAGAAATGTACCAATGCTACATGCTAACTCTGTTTCCATACCTAGCCTCTTTCTTCCTGCAGTAGGTAGTGATGGAGTTTCCCATCAAACTCCCACCTTCCGGTACCTTCTGGTGTTCCAGGCTATGGAGCTGCAGCCGGTCCCTCTCCAACCAGACCCGGAGATCCTGGGATTCCAGCACCGCCGGGTCCGTCTGCTCCTGCAGTTGGCGAGCCAGCTCCTCCTCCCTCCCGCTGCATTCCCCCCACTGGTCCTGCAGCACCTCCGGCTCCCTCTGCAGGCTCTCCTGAAGTACAGCGAAGGGGTTTAGGCATAACACATCCTCCATTAATTATTTCCTTAGCGGGGTGACTCCTACATAACTAACCAAAGGGTTAGGGTTAGGGTTAGGGTTAATCAAACCCCACTGACAGAAGTAGTTTAAAGAGACTGGCTGCCTTGTCTTTGAGGTACTCTGATTTTCTATGGCTGAGTAAATCAGAAATTATAATAAGGATTTTAATCACTCTTAAAGGAAGTCTTACTCCATTCAGGACATTCCCTGTGCTTGAGAACAGCTTTACCTCCTTGTCCACCACAGCTATGCCAAAAATTACACTGAAATTCTGCTAAAACGCAGCATCTGTGACTGGCTCTCTCTGCTGTTTCTGGAGATCAAGTGAGCATTCTGCTGTTCACTTTGTTGAAGGTCGTATTTAGCAGTAGAGTTAGTGTTCCCAGAGAGATGAGCCTATGAATACAAAGGTGACCGGGCAGGAGAGGGTCAGAGGTTTGGTCGCCGCTGCGGCACTCACTGGGAGCCGTTCGTTCTCTCTGTCCTTCTCCGCCTGGCTGCCGCTGCTCATGCTGCCTGCAGGACAGTCTGGCCCCACCGGTGCTCCCCCCTGGCTCGCGATGTCATCTCGCGGCAGAAGCACGAATCCTCCACCGCTGAACAACTCCTGCGGAGTCAAAGCAGAAGAACAAGGCAATGGAAACACACCAGTGTACACAGTTTGAACCAACTTACACGTTTTGAACTGTGACAGTGCTCTGGCCGTTTTTAACGTTAATGCACATTTGATTAGTTTTCATATGTTTACACAAGGTTTTGGTTATGCTATTATTTTAATGTTCATTCAAACAAAAAGCGCACAGTGCTGCTAATTTTATTCATGGTTTTCAATATAAAACTTGGTGAAATTATGTCAGTTTGGGCATCAGTTCTTTCCAAACATTTTCAGCACTTTTGAACAATACTGTGATAATGATAACCGTGATTATTTTGGTCACTACAATCATATTATTAAATTTTCATACTGTTTCATGTCTATTTAAAGTTCCAGAATGCCGCTCTGGATTTTGGATGTGTTAGTCCTCGTTCCTTCACCCCCTGTGATACAGAGAGTCCCCTTTCGGTGTCTTAGTTCACCTCCTACCTCACTGACATTTGCCGTCTCCCCAGTCTGGGTCCCTGCTGCACCCCAAGCTCCCGCTGCTCCTGAGGAGTGTGGAGGTTCTGCCTTCTCCCTCCTCTGAAGACTGGCCTCCAGTTCTTGCACACGTTGGCTTAGGGCATCCCTGTCCCCGCGGGCCTGGACGATGTATCTGTCGTACTCCTGCCGTATCTTCCGCTCCCGGTTACAGTTGGGGCAGTCCATGGACATGGGAGGGGCGGCGGCTGTGGCAGAGGGGGCAGGTGGAGGTGGGAGGCAGTCTGAGGAGATGCCGGGGGAGTGGAGAACCTCAGGCCTGGCCTGCCTATCCCGATCGCTAGGCTCCACTGCTTGGTTACCTGCTAGCGTGCTCAAGTGAGACTGGGAGCGTGGCCGCCTGCTCACGCTGGCCCCGCCCCCTTTCTCCTCACCAGGCAGCCTGCTCACGCCGGCCCCGCCCCCTTTCTCCTCACCAGGCAGCCTGCTCACGCCGGCTCCGCCCCCTTTCTCCTCGCCTAGCCGCCTGCTCACACCAGCTCCGCCCCCTTTCTCCTCGCCTAGCCGCCTGCTCACACCAGCTCCGCCCCCTCTCTCCTCGCCTGGCCGCCTGCTCACGCTGGCTCCGCCCCCTTTCTCCTCACCAGGCAGCCTGCTCACGCTGGCCCTGCCCCCTTTCTCCTCACCAGGCAGCCTGCTCACGCTGGCCCCGCCCCCTTTCTCCTCACCAGGCAGCCTGCTCACGCTGGCCCCGCCACCTTTCTCCTCACCAGGCAGCCTGCTCANCCTGCTCACGCTGGCCCCGCCCCCTTTCTCCTCACCAGGCAGCCTGCTCACGCTGGCCCCGCCACCTTTCTCCTCACCAGGCAGCCTGCTCACGCTGGCCCCACCCGCTTTCTCCTCGCCTAGCCGCCTGCTCACACCGGCTCCGCCCCCTTTCTCCTCGCCTGCCCGTCTGCTCAGGCTGGTTCCACCTTCCCTCTCCTCTCCTGGCCTCGGTGCCTTCGCCGACCTCATGGCCTGTGTTCCTCCCGCCTCTAGCTGGGGCAGCACAACTTTGTGATCCAGCTCGTCGCAGTGCTTCCAGCCATGCCCAGAGGGTGGCGCTAGCGTGTGCTGGATGGGGGGCAGGCAGGTCTGGGGATGAACCTGTAGACCCCACAGAACAACATGCAAGTTAAGGCTTAACCTGGGAGCCAAAGCCACATTGATTTAGAAAAAAAAACCCTCTGCAGATGACAAATACAGGCATGTAATTCTCTCTCTACCTGAGAGCTAGTAGTAGTCGCACAACACATTTTAGAAATAGGATCAATTCAATTAA